AATTACAAAGCTATAAAAATAGCATTACGAGAAAAAAAGTATATATATTACTTTTAATTAAATATTAAAAAATTCATTAAATCTCTCTGGCAATCATAGTTTAAAACATCGGTCGATTTTTAAAAAATCGGCCGACTAAATCGGGATCGGTCACCAGACGATCCCGAATTGTCCAAATTCCAACGGTCGTGTATTTTGAATTTTTTTTTTTTTAATGCACTAATCGACGGATTTATTGAATTGATGGGCACTAATAGCACAAATCAATCAATTAATGCATTAATGGACGAATTTGTTGTAAAAATCGCCTGATTTGTGTACTGTCACAGAGACCTTTTTGTCAAAATATATATCTTCACACGCTCTCTTTCTCCCTCTCTCTCCTTATTGATAGGTTGGGACAGGTCCCCTCTCTCTGCATCTTTTTCTCTCTTTCTAACTGTTGGGGCAGGGGATTGCCCCAACTTCTCTCTCTCTAAAGGTTGGGGCAGGCCTACCCTAACGTCTTTCTCACTCTCTCTCACTGCTGGGGCAGGGGATTGCCCCAACTTCTCTCTCACCTCTCTCTCTCTAAATGTTGGGACGGGCCTAGCCTAACGTCTCACTCACTCTCTTTCTGGAACGGTTGGGGCAACGAAATTCCCAACCTCTCTCTCACTCTCTCTGTTGGGTTTTCTCTCTCTCTCTCTACTGCCCCAACCTCTCTCTCTCCCTCTCTCACCTCTCTCACACACGCTTCACTCTCTCTCTAACTGTTGAGAAAGGGGACTGCCCCAACTTCTCTCTCTTAGGTTCTCTTTCTCTCTCTTTTAAATTATCTTTCTCTCTCTCTAACTGTTGTCACTCTCTCTAACTCTCTCTCTTTCTATCTCTTTCTGTGGAACTGTTGGGAGGGGATTGCCCCAACCTCTCTCTCACCTCTCTTTTTCTCTCACCTCTCTCTTTCCATCCCTCTCTCTCATCCCTCTATCTCTCCATCTCTTTCTAATTGTTAGGGCAGTTGCTTCAGGTGTGCTTAATTTTTTTTTTTCTTAAACTCAATTGTGCTTATAATATATTTTTGTTTTGCGTTTTTTATATGACAATATTAAAAACAATACATGTAAAATTTTATCATTTTTTACAATGTATGGAGATCTTTTAAGAATTTTTTAAAAAATTGCATTTTTATATGAGAATATATATATATATGCCCTGCTTTCTTTTTACAACAACGTGCTTTGGCTTTACTCAAGAATACCCATTATTCGTTTCTTTAGCTTTACTCATAGTATATATGCACTTCGCACTTTTGTTTTTTTTGGCTTTCTTTGTGAAGAATGTGCAAAAAGATGAGAGAGAGAATACCCATGTTCTGAGTTTGGTACAACTTCCAAATGATATTTCAGACGTTACCTCTTATCATTATGTGTGTATCATTATCATTATTATTATTAGTTATGAGTAACTTTGTGCAAAAAAAACAAAAAAGAAAAAAAATAGTGACACTGCATTTTTTAAAGTGAAAGGACTACATTAACTAGACAAAAGATCACCTTAGGAGAATTTTCTTATTTCAAATTTTGGAATTCATATGAGAATCACCCTATGACTATTTTTATCATCGTCATCAAAGTTTTTTTTCAATTAATTGGAGTTGGCTACATGAATCTCGTTCTGCTATTCTGCTCTATTAGATGTGATACCTTCAGTGAGACCATAAGTTCCCATATTCTTTCTCATTACTTCCAATCATGTCCTTTTAAGCCTACACTTTGTCGTTTTTTAGCCTTCTAGTCAAATTAACTCACACCTCCTAACCGGTGTTATACTAGGTAGGCACCACACATGGTCAGCCTACCTAAATCCACTTTCTCTCATCTTATCGTCTATTGGTGCCACAAATAAATTCCCCCAAATATATTCATTACAATGTACAAGATCTCAAGTATTATTTTCCAACAAGGCACTTATTTCTGTATCCATAGCCTCCTTCCAATATAACATAGTCAAGGGTTGTTGGTAAATATCAATTGAATCTAAGGGGGCAAACAATGATCTAAAAAATAAACAAATATCTGAGTGGTTGGAAAGAATCTCAACAGTATATAAACAAAGTTCTAGGTTGTAGTGAAAAGTCAAAATTATCAAGAAAAAAACTATATTAGTCAAGTGGGTAAATCACATATAAAGAACGTCGTAACTTGGTAGAGCTATCAAAAGAAACAAAATTTAGAAATAAAGGAGGAGGAAAGATAATCACTTATATGTAGTATAGAAGTCTGACCTTGCTCTAATTGGTGAAATGGAGGAGGTGTAGAGTCATTTTGTTTTCTATATTGCTGATTCACCAAAATCTGTAATGACTTATCAGTAGTATTGGCATCTGAGAAATCTGGTAAGAAAGTAGCAGATGACTTTGTTGATTTAACAATTGAAAAGTAATAAAAGAGGCTTTTCGAAAAGATGACAAGTTAACTTTCACGGCAAGATGAATTACAATAAGTAATTATACCTATGAAATATACATTTTTTATATACGATAAATATAAGATCTTCAATGGTACCTGCACCAACATTCCACCCTATAAAACTTATTTTTCAACTTTATTGGTATACGGCAATCACATAAAATTTCAGTTACACAACTCTACTTTACCGACCCTATGACTATTTCCGAATAATAAAAATTTGGATTTTGAATACGTTACATACTTACTATTGCCCTCCAAAACTTAGACGGTCTTTGTTCAATTTTGCAACTTTGTTTTCTTGGCACGTAGTATGTGACTATATGCACTTTGAAATTTTTTAGTGTTTTTGGGGTTGTCGCTAGATTAAATAAAGATTATATCCCCAAACTTTGTGATCCTAAGAGCACCATGATTTTGGCATGTATATGAAAAAGCAATTGAACAATAGGCTCCGACAACGGCATAAATTATTTCACTTTTCAAGAGTAGAAATAACGTGCAATAAAATTCTTAGCATAGTCCAACTTAAAGCAAGATTTTTTTGAAAATTCTCTTAGTTCGTAAAATCCATTCAAACATTTGAGTTTTGAAAAATCTCTTCATCAATTTGATATTTTTGAATATTGGTTTAGAGATAAGGACATCAAAAATAAAACTAAATTAGGAATCTAGATTTAACAAAAAAATAAACCAACATATTCCCTTAAAAAATGTGCATTAAAAAACGCGAGCAAAACAATTATATTTTTCTTTTATTTCCTTCTAACAACGCTTGTTAATTGTCGATATAGTTCCTTCGTTTATTATTTTTCTAATTTTTTCAATGTTATATGCCATGATAGTAGAGTAAACATTGTTTACGTATTTTACAAAAAATTGTCATGTGTCATCTTAATGATACTAGAGTTGTGGAAACTTAATTTCTTTTTCTTTTTTTTTCCTTCTAACAGCAACCCTATACGTTGGGTTTCAACTCTTGTTAATTGCCGATGTTGTTCCTTCATTTTTTATTTTTTTATTTTTTCAATGTTGTATGCCATGATAGTAGAGTAAGCATTGTTTACGAATTTTACAAAAATTGAAACAAACATTTGCATGCATCATCTTAATGATATAAGTGTTGCGTGTGGAAACTTAATTTTTGGCAAATAAAAAGGTGAGGAATAATACATCCGGCAACCAGCAAAAAACAAACAATCAAGAAAGAAATAACGCAAAAAAAACACTAAGATTTTTCGTGGTTCATTATATAGGTGACTACATCCATGAGTGAAAATAATTAATGATTTTTACTTATCAAGTTTTTTTAAAAAAAAACCACAAAATGGTAAATTGATTGTTTTGCCCCTCTTCTAAAGACAAAATCATGTGTCTTTTTCCCTCATCTTTTTTTTTTATTTTTTTTCTGTATAGTGTCTTCCTCTTTATCTCTCTCTAAAAATCAATCCTTAAGTTTTATCTCTTTCATATTGTCTCTAAAAATACAATTCACTATTCATTCTCTTACCTTTTCTCTCTAAACACCTAAACCATTTTTTCTCAACTTTCACATTTTCTTTTTAGAACCCAATCTTTTCCTTGTGTACTCCGTGTTCTCTCTCTAAAATTAAATTCAAATGAGAAAAAGAGAGAAAAATTGAAGGAGATGAGAATTAAAGAAGAGAGGGAAATCACATTCTTGGGTTTCAAAAGGTATATAATATAATATCTTCTTTATCTTTGGTTTCACTCTCTTCTTCTATAATTTCAGTTTTCTAGAAAGAAAATGAGAGGATGTATAAATAGGTAATATTTCTAAAGGATGTAATAGGAGAAGAGATGGGCTGGTTTTTAAGGAGAGAATGTGAAAGAAAAAAAGAATGGCTTGAATTTTTAGAGAGAGAATGAGAGATGAGGAAAGAATGTGCCTGGTTTTCAAAGCAAAAATATGACAGAAGTGAAGAAACTATGGCAAAAAGTATCACTAAAAAAAATTGATAAAAAGAGTGAGAGATGATGTAAGATAAATTTTTAATATTTTTCTTTTAAAAGAGGGGTAATTATAAAAGTGGAGAGCTAAATTAAAACGAAAATATGTTCGATGTCTAATTTCTTAAAAAAGAAGTTTTGAAAATGCCTTCTTTTTTTTTTTCTTTTTATTTTTTTTGTAAATAGAGTTTTTATAAAGCCTAGACTTTATGAAAACAAAATAAATCTTCATCTCAAATCCTCATTTGAAAAAAAAAATTCGGCAATGGAAATATGCTAGATGGTTGTCAAATCACTTTGTAACACCAATAATGAAATTAGAAATTCAAAAAATAAGACAGATATTGTATATCTATTAATACTTATTTTTAAGGTGAAATAGATCATCTAGATAATTTGTTAAAATTTATATAATTTTTAAAAAAAAATAATTTTCGCAATCATAATTTTCTCGTCAAAATGATGACGTAAAAGTTTTATAATACTTAAATTGCACTTTTCAATGAGTTATGAGGTGAGCCGTTACTTATTTTTGTATCGCCTCAGCTCTATCGAATCATTTTTTTTGTTGTTTTTAGGAAGGCTCTACAAATTCTCTCGAGTTTTTAGCCCTAGCACCGAATACATAGGCTAAGAATCTATATGGCTCCAGCCACCGGGGGTCTACATGGGTGCAGAAACTAAAACTTGCTCTTTTTTCTATCTTTTTTTTACTTTTTCTTTTTCTTTTTCTTTTTTTAAGGTGAGGTGTCTTCCCCGAACAGGGTAGAGGGTCATCATTTTCACAGAAGAAAGCCATGTATACGAGTGAAAATGCAGGAAAAAAACTTGTTACAGAACTTGGAAATGGAAGCCAAATTATTTATTTTCCTAATTTCTTCAAAGCAAATAAATCATCGGAGTGGCTGAAATATCTTGACGAAAATATCCCTTGGACGAGGCCAAATATCTTTGTATTTGGACGCCACTGCCCCCAAGTAAATACACTTTCCTCTCTCAAAGGCACTATATTCATGCATTTCCTTTTTTCTATCTTTGAATTTCATTTCTGAGATCTTCTTTTTTGTTAATGGTTTTTTTTTTTTTAATTACCCAGTTCGCAAATTTGAAGAAAATGAAGTTTTCTCCTCTCAAAAATATGGCATTAATTTGATTGTTTAGAGCCTCTGCTCTATACAAACCGCACCCTTTATAAAATAACCAATTTTTTTATTTGATGGTATAATTGAATTTGGTCTATTGGGGTGTAGGGGGCTTCAAATGGGTTTCGTTATTTACATTTTGTTTATTTTTTGGGATTTATATTCGTTTTTTTAATGAATTTATTAGTTATCTGTTGATTTGTTTATTTTATTGCTATATTCTCTGTCTAGTTATTGCTTGGATTTTTTTTTTTTTATCGTAGTTATTGCTTGGAAAAAGTTTATATTAGGGTGCAACCTTAAAATGTAGAATCGAAGGTGGACATAAAAGATTGTTTGGATGAGTTCGAAATGTATGAATAAGAAAAGGAAAAACAATTTTGAGACCGCAAAATAGTATATCTTGCCACACATGGTCAGGACTGTCCGCTTTCAATATTTTCATATGTTTATAGATCTACCTTGAACTATTTTTAGAGTTTAAAACTTTATAACTAGAGATGAAAATCGATTCTCAAACAAATTATTTATATCAAAATTATTTATGTCAAACTTATGGAAACCACACCCTTAATTAAATGTCTTATTTGCATTTTGTTTGTTTATAATTGTAACAATGTTAAATGCATATCCAATGTGAAAGTGATCTTTTTCGCTGTATGATTCATTTATATTTCTTCAATTTGGCAGTGGGTTAAGACATGTAGCAATTTCCAGTTAGTTGCAATTAATTAGGCATTCTCTCTCCCAATAAACAATCTATCAGGAAAACAACTCTTCCTTTTGCCTGCCATGTGTTTGTAGATTGTTGTCTATAATGCAATTGTTATGCATTCATGCATATGCTTATGGGTTTATCTGTGTATGCAATGTGTAAATTGTGTGTGAATTTATCTGTATATGTTTTTGTGTATGTATGTATATGTGCATGCATGTATTTATGCATGTGTGCTCGTCTATTCTGAACTTCGGCAAGTTTGTATGCATGGGCTGTGATTGTAACTTCTTAGGAGGTGTGTGGACATAGTATGTGCACACATGCACATGGAAAGTGAGTGCTTGAGATGCTTATAAGCACGCATAATGATACACACATATGCATGAGTACGTGCATCTCTCTCTCTCTCTCTCTTTCTCTGTCTCTCTCACACACACACACGCACGCACATGCATTTGTGTATGCAGCTCTCTCACTCTCTCACATGCATTTGTGCATGCAGATGTAATTTTTTTCTTGTCGTGGTGGGAACGACTGTTAAAACACTTACAAGTCAAGATTGTTTGTGCAGAAATCAGTAGAATGGATTGCTTCTTAGAAGCCAATTTACTATACCCGTTTTTTATGTTTTCCTGAAATTTTACTTTCATTTTTCACATTTTATGTGTTTTGCTCTGTCTATGTTATGGATAAATTCTGCCTAATCTCTATCTCTTGATTATGTTTTTAACTTATTTGTTCTTTTGGGGGAGATGAAACTATCAGTCATATTGCAGTACATACTTGAATGTTATTTTCAATTACAGTTTTGATGATTTAAGAAGGTGACTATTCTTATTTTCATTCAAAATCTTGGTTTGTAGATCATGAGGCTAGTTTTCCAGTTTGTGATGAGAACATAATGCCTTTAAGCTTTTTTCCATCGATCATTTAAATATAAACATATGGTTTCTGTTGTACTTTTATTCTCTTATTCATTTTGTGTTTATTTATTTTTTTATGTTTATAGTCTCATAAATTACAAATTCGCAGCCTAGGGACACATGCTATGTTGCAAGTGAAGGGTTGCCAGAATACAAATACAGTGGATATCGGCCACCAACCCATTCATGGAATGATTATCCTCCTCTCAAACTCATATTGAATGCTGTAAGAACATTGCTCTGTTACACATTCTTCTAAAGCAAATGATTACTGTGGGTTATTATGATCTGGATATCCTCACTTTTAATACAAAGTAAAAACACCTTTCTTATGTTATATAAATCTATGCACAATCTAAGAAGGTGCTTTGATTTTCTTTTGGCAAATCTTCGAAAGTTTGCTTGTTTTCCCCTTTTTTGGTTTTTAAATGTTTAAACAGTTTATGATTACTTTCTTCCAACCACTGTTTTAAAACCCAAAACCGCGTGTTGGATTGGCTCTCCACTGTATTGTTCCAGATTGGCTGATTCAGGCGATCCAGATATGCGGAGTAGGAAATCGAAAAATAAAGAAAAATACAAATTGCAAAACAAAGGAAAAAAAGGTTGCAATTAGCTATCTTCCCCATTTATACTATGCTTTTTTTAATGATTTATATCATCAAACATATTGATGGGGAATGATGCAAATTAGAGAGACTAGGGCCAATTCCTGATTCTGGGAGGGGATCGACCCATTGATATTGAATCTGATCCTAATCAGCAATTTTGTAAGCCTTGCTTTTGACATTTCATAGCGAAATGTGTATTACTATAATAACTAACATAATCCAAAACCAATATTCATTGTTGTCATTGCCATCCGCTATAATGGACAGTGTTGGTGCCCGGGAGGGATCCACCGTTGGAGTCATTTCCTGTTCTGGTGAATCTGTTTCTCCATCACCATGTAATCCATAGCCTATTTGATTACAGTTGATGATTATTGTTGATTTCATAGGTTCATGAAGCCCTTCCTGGGAGCACTTTCAACAGCCTGCTCTTGAACAAATACAAAAGTGGCAACGACTACGTCGGTTGGCACTCGGATGATGAGAAGTTGTATGGTGACACTCCGGTGATTGCTTCAATTTCTTTTGGATGTGAGCGCGAGTTCTTGCTAAGGAAAAAAATACGAAGAATATCAAGAGGTCCAGTTAAATCTTTTGAAACTTTCCTCTAGCAAGAGGTCTATTACGCCACAATTTTTTGGATAGAACATATCCCTACCAATATTAAAAACTCGTCGGGCTTGGGACTCGGGACTCGGCCCTTGCTCGAGCCTAGTAACTCAAGTAAGATTTCGAGTGCACTTGCCTGAGTAGCTCGGCCCTTGTAAGTGTGCATCATTTATTGTACGTATGATGGAAAAAAGTATATAGGAAATGGAATATGGAAAATTTTGTTATGTGGCTTGAAGCAATTTAAAAAATAGAAAAATATTGCATATGATAAGAAAAACTCAAAAATCATCATAAAAAAAAAAATCAAATTTTATATAGACATATTTATACATGATTTATTAGTGATTTAGTAAAAAACTATGTAATTTTTATAATAAAAAAATTTCTACACCCTATTTTGTACAAGGAACTTGCCTCAGGTTTTAAAACCTTGATCCCTACCACCTATATCACCTAAATTTTAGGCAGAGGTACTGTCCATCATTGTCTAAGAGCAGAACCAAAATTAATACATAAACCTGGGGCTGATAAGAGTAGAACCAAAATTAATACATAAACCTGGGGCTGATAAGAGTAGAACCAAAATTAATACATAAACCTGGGGCTGACATTAGCCCCGAGATGCATTAGTACTCCAGCTCTCGGGTCGGATGTCACTACAATGCCAACAATAATTCTCAGTATCACATAAAGCAGTGATATGAGGTTGGTGAAGGTTTCACTAGTTCTGCATTTGGAGAAATGGATTTTTAGCAGGAATGGTCCCCCGTGTATGGGGCAGCATCTTGCTAAGAGAATACAGTCTCAACCAGTGTTGGACTAGTTGGTTCTTTCTCAGAACTCGGCCAGAGTTACTTGAGCAAGCCCGAGTCCACTCATCAAGGTCCAAGCCACAGCCTAATAACATAATAAAAAAAAAAAACCAAACTAAAGAAAAAGAAAACTGGTTTAAAGTCATCTTTCCATAAAAATGAGAAAAAATAACTAAAACATAAGGCCATAAAAAGGTACAAACAAATTAGGTAAAGTCGACGACGACTGATTTATTCAAAAAATAAATAAATTATTAGAAAAATGTAACTATTTGTGTATCACTTATATATCCCTGAGTTTTGGGCTCGACACCTGAGCCTCAGCAACCGAAGTGATCCCAAGTTAACTAACCCCAGTAATCAAACAAACTTAATATTTTCTTTGAGATGACTATCCATTTTGCCAAATTTATAATAATAACTCACAAGAAATATAAGAAGAGATCCATTTCCCACACATTGTATGCAATGCATACTGTTTTTTAGGTAAATAAATGAAAATAATTGAACCCGACATGGAAAATCTGGATGAGCCAACCAATACGACACTCAAAGACTTGGAAAAAGAGAAGTTTTCATCGATATTTGAACTCGGGTTAATACGCAATGCATAATTGATAAATCCTAGGTTAGCTTTATAGGGCTTGTTCCAGGTAAGCCAAGGCTTCTTACATTTATATAGACTATGATTTCTTATGGTATATGTCTTAGGGTAACGATCGCACATAGAAATAGGATTCTTAATTTAGTAATACAGTATCATTATCATCATCATCATTCGAGCCTTATCCCAAAACATTTGGGGTCGTTAACTTTATAATACAATATGTTATTCTGAATTTTTAGTTGCAAAATGCCACCCATCCTCATGTTTGGGTGGTCATTTTTCAAGGGAAATGTTGAAAAAACCTCATAGGGCATGGTTATTATCAAAGAAAACTTATTTTCTTGAAATACTTCTTGGGCTTTGGTCCATTGGCGTGAGAACCAGCTTCTGTGTTTACAGTCGCCTTGCATGTGTGCGCATGCACACACACATGAATTTTTGTATCCCCAAAAGAAGTATTTTATTTGCAAAATGCATGTTACTATTAATCTTTTTCTCTAATGCCCTGTGAAAATCACTTGGCTTCTGAAGTTTGAGATCATTCTTGTGCAGAGAAGCCATCATGCACGCGTTCAGCAAACAAAGAGCAGCATTCTTTCATATTGAAGCATGGCTCTCTACTGGTAATGCGAGGTTACACCCAGCGAGACTGGGCTCACTCAGTTCCAAAGCGCACTAAAGCAAATGGACTCAGGATCAACCTCACATTTAGATATGTGTACTGTGAACTGGAACAATTATCGCGTTTCAGAGAGCCAAAAATTCAGGAACTTACTAAGACCATTCAGAAGGAGAAGAATGCAGAAGTGAAAAAAGAAAACAACTGAGACCAACTTGGGCTTCATATTTTGTTCTTTTGGAAAGGCCCTTCCCCACTAATTTTTCCTTTACATCCGATGTGTGGCTAGGTTTTTCTAGAGTTTTGATTGTGGTATCTGAAAGATCAGGGTATATTTTGGCATTCATTTGCTTGTGCTGCAGTCAAGAGCAGCAAGTCCATATGATAAAAGAACAGTTTGATGGACTTGGCTTGTTTAAGTGAAAGTGACTGATGTAATTTTCCGACCCTCAGGCTTCGCTTAGTGGTAGACATATTAGTTTGGGAGGAGGTCGAGGGTTCAAACGCTTGATGTTTGGCTCAAAAAGCTCAAACAAGCAAACGTCTCCTCTTTTTAGTGATGCAATTGTTCGTATCAGTATTCACAAATATTAGGTCGGTTCATGTTTCCAAACGACTAAATGTATTATTTTTGTTTCGATATGGCATGATTTACGATTCAAGGTTTTATGGGAAAATATATAATGAAAACGTTTATCTTTGATACAAGGTGGTCACATTAATCTTGACCATTAGATGTGAAATTGGGTGACTGCAATTATTCCATCGACCAAATTCAAACTTCAAAAGATATTTTTTTGAACTTTCAGACACATCCAAGCTATCAAATTTCATATAAAATTGTTGAAAGTAATTCTGACCACCTTGTATAAAAAATAAATGATCTTACAGAATCCTGGGTTTTATTTGTTGTTGTTGTCCAAACTATGAAACAAATTATTAACATCATCAGCAAAACAACATCTAACTTGTAAATGTTATATTAAATATTTTAAAGCTGTGGTCTTCATCGTCGATTGAATTCGTTGGACGATGTTGTGTTCTGTGGATTCCAATATGCTTCCTATTACACTCATGTTCTTTTTTCTTTGGTCCCTTGGGAACATACTATATACGAACTCCTTCGGGCAAAAGAGGATTTGGAATAATTTTGTTAACCTTTAATTTAAGGTTCATCTAAGAATCATTAGATGATTATGTTATAATATATATATATATATATATAGATTTTTGAGTTTTTCAACACTGGATATTGCCCTCTAAAAATTGGACATAAATCTTGGAAATTTTATTCATTTCAGCCATATGGAGTGTTTCATTTATATTTTTTCTCCTCTTTTTTTATTTTTTACTTTTTTTGGAGATTAGGCACTAGGTTCAAGATATTATATCGCCAAAAATTTAAGGTCCCAAAAACACTCCTAGCTTTTACGGCAAGGAGCAATAGGCAGTTGATCTAGCATAAGCAAATAATCATTTCCCGAACAAAGGCCTCCAAGCACTGTCACAGGTACGAGTTTGCCAAGATCCTAAATTTTGGGATGTAACCTCCACAGCTAGTATCCAAGTTTTAACAAAGAGAAGAATTTCTATGACCCATGGAAATTTCATACAAGATGAGATGTGAAATTTTTGAAGTAGTTCAAGAAAAATCTTTTGGGCCCTAACAAAGAAAAATGGTATTACTCCTTCCTTTCAATTGCGTCATTTGGGAGAAGAGAAGGCTTCTTTCAAGAAAAGATTGAGAAGGCAGCCTTTCATACGTACGTTCCAGTTGCTTCTGCCAAGAAATCGAACCCCCACCGCCTATCATCCTCCACCACCTTCAACCA